CTCATATAAACGAGACCTAGTCTTATGAATGCCTACTGTTGCCCAGTCATTGAATTTAGTGTCCCTATGGAAAGTTATTGCTTTCGGTTTAAATACATTATCAAATTCATTTTTAATACAACTAAAAGTCGTGTTATATAAAATATTTGGAACCTCCGGTATATGGGACAGGACATTTAAACTATTGTCTATATTATTTTTAAATCTAATTATTCGTTCTGTGGTAATCGGTCGGCAGAGAAATTGGTCTACCTTCTTGCTCATTTTATAATTAAAAGTAGCCAATTGCCCACTATGATCTGATCTTAAGCAATTTATGATTGATTTAGACACTGCGTCTGTGTTACAAAAGATGTTATCAATACAAGTAGAAGAGGAGGCAGTGATGCGAGTTGGTTCCAAAAAAAGATTAATCAAGTTAAAACTTTTAAGTAAATTAATGAGTCTTACAGAAGTAGAACAGTTTTCCAACAGGTTTACATTCCAATCTCCTCATAGTAATATAGTTTTTTTGGTTGGTAAAATCCGTTTTAGACTATCTTCCATGGTTAATTCAAACTCGTTGAAATTAGCAGAGGGGGGCCTGTACACACATAAGACAACAAACTGATCCAATACCACACATGAAATTTCAAGAGTTCGTTCAATAAAGTGATCTGTGAAATCCTTAAGCTCTTTAAATTTTAGCTGACGGTTAATAAATCATCATAATAATCATCATAATAAGCTACTGGTCTTAAAACGACTAAGTATACTTACTTATGTAATGCTATTCTTCTGGGGTGTTATAGTCTATTTCGTTCCTGTTCTGGCCATCAGGTCTGGCCCAGGTCCACTTTCTGATTGTACGTTTCTTCATTGCGTACATGATATGTTTTTCCAGGAAATTGACTAAAAGCTGTCCCCGAGGGTTTCGCCGTCCAAGACCATATTGTACCACTGTGTGTTCCGATTCTCTATGTGGACCAATTTAAGCATTAAAATCTCCCATCAAGGTGGTATAATGACAGTGGCTTTCTTTGTATGCTTTATCAATGTGCTCATAGAAAACTTCCATTTCATCATCGCCATGGTCTGAGGTCGGAGTCTACACTTGGATTATCTTTAAGGCATATAGATCGTTAAACCTAATTACGACGTAGCACACACGAGTTGCAATGCATTTAATGCATTTAATGGAGGTATAAAGTCTATTGTGGATTAGAAAAGTAGTTTCTAATTCTTCCATTAATTCAACTAGCCTATCGTCGTCTTTCAAAGTCCGTGTATTAAACGTAGCCAGGGTCATTAGGTTTTTGCAGCTGGATCTCTACCGGAGCCGGACATTCTTCGCTTCCTCTACCCCACCGGAACCGGAGTCGCTGCCAGAACTCGGAATAGCGGGGTCGCCGGGAACTGAGGGCCGTTTGTTTTGGGCGTGTCTCATGTTAAAAGAAGGGGTTTAGCCATAAAATACCACGCTGTCCAGTGCGTCTTGGTGAGTCGCCAGAGCCTAGTTTGTTATCTAGCAGGGTGCACCACGTGCAGGTTAGGTTGGCATGGTAGGCTAGATATTGGGGCCCCCCTTACACGCTCAGGACTTTGGACATTAGAAAATAGAATTTCACAACTGTACTATTTTTAACCGACTAAAAAAGGAGAATATTCTCAATTCGACTGTATTTTTTGCCTGAATGGTACGCGATTATTTCGACATTTGTGAACCGATTTGGATGTTTCAAACTTGAAGAAAATATTCAACCTCTAGGGGTCGCAAATTATGGGATGCATCCGGTTTATTGGATTTCTCTCACTTTCCGTTAACCGATTTCAATAACTCTTGGTAAATATATGTAATTTCACAAAGTTTTGAGGCCGGTTTTCTTTATAAAAAACTTCTAAGTATTTCGGATCAAAACAGCGTTTTTAATACAAACTTACGTTTTAGGCAGTTTACGGGTGTCTTGGTTACATCGAGTATACTTATATGAATTGTGTTTCTGTTTGTTTTGTAATTAGATGTATTGCTCTTTTTCCCAAACCACCGCTGTTTTTCCCAATTAATACAGAATATTTTTGAAACATACGAAGACGTACACACAGGTCAGTTTTTGACGCTGTACTATTTCAGCTTTCTAGTTTGTGATTTCAGTGCAAACGAGAGTTGAGATTTAAAGTGATATAAGGTCCATTAGACTGATGAGTTGCCAAGACTGGATGGTGCTTATTTCGTCTCTATTTCTAGTTACATACTCGATGCTTGGTTGCGACAGACATAAATTTTAGATTAAAAAAATATTTATATTTCCAATGTGTAGCAATCGTAAGAAACTCAGTTCTCGATTAATATTTTACAGTCTTTTAATTGTGTCGGTGCTTTTTTATTTCAGTACCAAATTTACTTAATATTATGTTGCCACTTTGACTGTGCTATCTGTGGCCGAGTAAAGATCTTCCCTCGTACCAGTATTAAAGCACAAGGTGCACAACAGCAAGTGCTGTATGGACTATGTTGGCGCACCGTAGTCACTTTGTATGGTAAGAACCTCCTCGCGGCGCACATCGGTAACGGTTAGGCGCTATAACACGATGATTCAACCGACTTACGATTGTACAACGTTGTCCGAAAATTGTTCTCTAAAATGGTGACCCTGCGATCCGAACATGTTGTTCCATTTAGAGTTTGACAGTTTGAATCACTGTTACGTATAGGGGACGACCATTTCGTGTTGGTGAACTTGCGCACAAATATACTAGCCACTTCTGCGTTTGACGTTTGTTATATGTACTTTACTGTTTTGGTAACTGTCGAAGTTTGATGAAATTCGATTTAGGTTATTGTTGTTTTTACAAACTTTGAAATGTTAATTTTAGAATAAAATATTAACATGCCAATAAATTACAGGGCAGGTATCATATTCAATTCGACAAATTTGTCGATCTAAACTGGAAACGGGGTGTCTTATGATAGAATCTTAAATGCTTACAGTGGAAGTACATGCTGTCTTTCTGATCTCCGGAGATCTGAATTTCCACAAAATAAGCAAGAAACTATAGTTTTGGCTACAGTTTGCAGTAGCATTAGAGCTCCTTGTGAAAGAGTTCGTCCAGAGAAGTACTGCCACCTTACCTATTTCTGCCACTAAGAGGTAATGTAAGCAATACTTCATCCCGGATTTAAAGGACAAGGGCGCTAGTGAATTACAGGCATATGTGACTTGTCAATTTATATCTCAAGGTGACAGATGCAGTAGCAGTGCCCCTCAAATCTTTGCGATTTAAACATTGACTTACAAATAAATGGACGACGGGTCTAATACAAAAACCACGAAAAAAATGTCCCAAGTCAACCTATTTAAACGTACACGTGACATGTAAAGGAATATGAAAAGGCTAAAACGTTGAATTTAAATTGTAATGTCATCGCAGTACTGTCTAATTTTGCTTGCTTCGCTGTCAGAAGAGACAAACGAAGACTAAAGCGTGAATGACGCTCTGTATACCATTTTAACGCCCTATAAGTTCGGACACTTTTTAGCGCGGACCCGACGTCCATATAATTTTAAGTCAATGGATTTAAAGCTCTGAGTCGCACTGCAACAGCTACAGGCAGGTGTGTCACAAATTGTTCATCCCGTCACTTGACATCATAAAAAAAAGATAATCTTTATGTTAAATTAAGAGAGTGCGGTGCTTCTTCGTTTGCTCTTATTTATGGGAATTCCCTGATTGTACGCATGTAGCTGGCATTTAAACTTCTAAATCCAATAGCGTGCAGATGACGCGGTAGATAAACTTTTCAACTCATTTACGTTGTTGGAATGTTGTCTACGAAGAACGCCTTATATGGAAAGCGCGTTTATAGGAGGGGTGGTCACAATTTACGCACCGTGAACTATAGTTCGAAATATAGTATAGAATGCACATTGCCCTGCCAAGAAAATGTATCATGAAAGACATTTATTTATCCACAAAACACGTAAAGTATAATATATGCGAACAATTAAATAAAAAACAATAATATGGATAAAAATGTTGAAAATTAGCACCGCATTAGGCACTGCTGATTTCCAATTTTTGCCTACAGCTATTCGCTTGCTGAATCAGTCCGATTTTGGTAGCAATAGAGCTCCTTGTGAAAGAGTTCGTCCAGGGTAGTACTGCCACCTTACCTATTTCTGCCGCGAAGCAGTAATTTCAACATTACTGTGTTCCGGTTTTGAAGGGTCAGGGTGCTGGTGAAATTACATGACTTGTCAACTTATGTGTAGCGGGAGTAGATGACTTTTTGCTGTGATGCGAAACAAAAAGGCGTCACTACTCTCGAGGCTGCGTTCTAGTCCTAACAGCATTCTGAAAATGTTTGCGGCTAAGCTTGATGCGCCGATGCTTCAACATTTTATCCAGGTTCTGGTGAGATCATGAGGTTATCGGCGCCTCGAGCAGTAAGTTGCATATACGTGTTCTTGTGTTTGCCAATGTATTGTCCCGTAAATTGTACCTACTAACAATAGCTTTAAGTTTAAATGTTCTGTATCTTTTTGTATTACTAACAAGTGGGCCATAGATGTCCAAATAAATGATTTATTATTATTATATTATTATTATTATTATGTCTCTGGGTGACGGGTGCAGTGGCATGCTTCTCAGAGCTTTGTTATTTAAAGCTCTGAGTGGCACTGCAACTGTTATGGACAAGATTGTAGCTTACCATCAGGCGCACGACTTGTTCGTTCCGTCACTTAATATTATTAAAAAAAACAGAGTGTATATATGTAGATACAGAGTCCATGTTGCACTTTATATAAAAGTTATAGAAATTAAAAAATGTAATATAAAATTCTAATTTATTTATTTTGTGTTGCTGGAGGTTTTAACCACGGAGCAATTGCTACTCAATTTCTGCACATAAATGGCATATAAAATATAACTGTAGGTTATATAGAACGTTATAGAAAAAAGCTGAGAACGTGCTCCTCACGGCGCAATTAGATGGTAAATTTAAAAAAAACAAACGTGGATTATAAATTCCGCCGCCTTCCATCCATTGACTCTCTTTCACTCTCTACACTTCTATTCAATTCTGGCTTCATGTCCGATTCCTTCCCTCTCCATTTAACACGTCTCTGAAATATTCTCCCGTACTCCATCAGAAGTTCTTCTAGTTTATCCTCTTTCAATAAGAATGTCCATGAGCATCTTTTAAATTGTTTATCACAGCGATAATCGTCATCATCTGTAATTTTATGTGTCATAAATATAAATGTACTATGTATATAGATATATACATATGTATCTATATACATAATACATTTATGTGACTTTTAGTGCCTATTTATGTAGATTTCTGTGGTTTCTACTGTATTTTAAAGAACGCTGATTAAACGTTATTGGTAGTAACACAAAACTAAGGTTAACAACGAGTGCACTGTGAGTGTGAAAAATAAAGTTTCCGAGTTGGAAAAGAAATTCGAGTGGTATAGCACTTGATATCGTATACATATATGATATGTTTGTTGGTTATATATTTGATTATATATTTATTATATTTATGTTATTATTACATAACATTTTGTTTAATTTACCGCATGCGTGAATTTCGTTATTCTCAAAGGTTGACTGGTAGATATTGCTTTTAGCATTAATTCCACCTTTTGTACCATTATGTGTTGTGGTCAATAAATTTCCTTTTTATATTATTTTTACATTTTAGGAAAATTCACGGACACAAAATTTACAATTATAGTATACTTAAATATACTATAATGAAAAATAGTAATCCAATGCCATTTACGAATTTCCATTTCCACCAACATGAAACTGTTTAAATTTAAAGTGCTTAACAAGCCAAAAAGAGATTTTAACAGAAAAGCAAAGAACATAGTTACATAAAACAATAAACATTAATAATAGACAAGTGTGTAATCATCGACTGTCATTTGACTGAAGAAAAAGATAAACTAATGACTAGACAGCATGGTCTCTGATTTTCGCCTGTTCCAAACGGAACGATGGAAAAAAAATTATCGACTGTCACGTGATGTGTCAAAGTGACGTTTGGTCATTTCTCGCCTAACTGTGTCTATGCTTGTTCAAAACAAATCAAATTCAAAGTCTACGCTGTTAAAAAGTCTCAATGCACGCATCATGTACGCATTTTGCCTATAATTACTGCTCGTAAACGGCACTTGACCTCTTTTGGTATCTCGGCATCTGTACTGCAACAGGTTTATGTGTGACAACAATTCAGAATAATCAATATTACCGTTGGTGATCCTCATCAGAAAACTGATATCACAAATGTCTTGACGTACACGAAGCGGCATATGAGCACGGCATAAGAAAATGATACCTAGTACACCTTGAGTCACCCAACTCAACTTTTAAAGTTTAATAATATAAATTAAAATAATAAATCTAATAATTACTTGATATGGATATTTATGTTAGTATTATAATAGCTGTAAAGGAAGAGCAATGAGTTTTAAGAGCTGTTATATTATATTAGAGTAAATACACACGCATTAGAATAAATTCACTTTTCGAAATTTTATACTAACATAAACTTTAATATTCCGATTCGCAAGCCAGGAAAAGCAATTTTTCAGTAAAATCTTTTCTACCTGAACAAACAGGACTTAGGATTAATATTCTTTCCCCGTCTTCAAGATCCTGGGCAAAGTCTTTGCTAGCGTAACGATTCTCAAGCTGTATGTGTGATTTTTTTTAAGTTGCGCACATTTGTAAATAAATGGTCCTTAGCAATACTTCTCACTCTCTTGATGATTCTTTTTTTATTGGAAATATGGTACCTCAGTCTCATTTACATTTGAAAAAAATATTCCATCTCTAAGAGTGGCAAACTAGGCAAATAGATGTACTTAATTTCACGAACTTTTGAGGTCGGTTTTTTTTATAAAAAAGTAATTATTATGAAGTCGGTAAGAAACACGCCTGTCTATGACAATTGCAGTTCTGCTCAGAGCTTCAAATCGTAAAGATCTGAAGGGTACTGCCATTGCGCCCATTACCCTGAGACAAAAAAGTCTTATGTGCCCATGTAATTTCACCAGCACCCTTACCATTCAAAAAAGGAACGCAGTAATGGCTATACTGCCTCCGTTGCCGAACGGTTACCATGCCGGATTGCCACGCAGAGGTCCCAGGTTCGATTCCTGGGCCGGGAGAAAAAAATATATGACCTACGTTTATTTCTCTCATGAGTTTGAGTGTAATTCGTGGTTGTCGATGCGTGTGTCTTCCCTTGTGCGGGGCTATATTGAGTATTACCAGCAACTGGAGCCAAGGTCACCACTATTAGAAAAAATAATAATAAAAAAATTAGAAAAATGTACAATTTTTCTTAGCTGTTGTTTTACTTCCTCTGGCTGGCGTATATATTTTTGACCAGGTGTGGGATTCGTTAGCGGATTAGAAGGCAACACAAATAAGTAATAATGGGTCGACGTTTGAACTTCAGAAATATGGTTCTTCTCAAACATGATAAGGAATATTTTGATTATTTTTAAAAGAAATTTGTCGTTTATGGACCATGGAACTCTTTACCGTTTAGGCACGCGTGCTGCTTGCGTGCCGTGAAATACATTTTAATATATGTGGCGCGGTGGCAGTACCCTCAGGTTTTTGAGTTTTAATACCCTGTGTGACACTGCAACTGTTGTGGATGAACGTGTCGCTTAACACCAAGAGCACGACTTGTTCGTCTCGTACACTTGATATTATAAAAAAATACATCTGCTTCATCATTATTTAATATATATTAATTCCTCGTATTGTATGAAAAAGCACTAAGTACAGATATTTAGATATACATTACAATAACATAGTATACTGTAATTATTTTGGTAAATATTTTTGGTAAACTCATGTTCATCAGGCAATCTGGACTACGCGGTCACTGTACGAGTACTACATTAAGTAGGTATGTCATAACTTAACCTAATTATGTTTCTGATCGCGCGCATAGTCGGGCTTACATTTTGTGTACAATTACGTATATTTTTTAGTACAATAAAGACCTTCGGACAGTACGGTGCCTTATATATTTTACTTCAACCGAACGGTGTACTCAGGGAAACACACTATTTCCATCAAACATACATTCTTACGAACATTCTACATTACATACGTTGGGCACGAGTCCCAGTTGCGGTGTAACTATTAAAGATGTACTGGCACTGTATTCCGACTGCATAATATCTGCAAAAAGCAGTTAGAGTGAAGCGAATCAATGCAACTTGTACGACAGCAAGGGGTTAAACGCGTTGAAATAAATGTACAGTTTGAGAAGCAGTCCTAGCAAAAACCGTATGTCTAGGGGCTAAGTATATGTAGACTCGTAGTTTTTACGGCATCTTCGGGCGGACTGTAAACGAACCAGACTTTTACTTTGGAGAGATGTATGTTTTCGTGCTGGAATAATTCAGACCCAGAGGTCAAGGGTCTGGTTGGAGCTTGTCGGTTTTATTTTTACAAGAAAATAAGATGGTTTGCCATATACTTATACTTTAAGTATATGCAGCGTGTTGCTTCAATGAATTTGAAATTGGTTACTTTACCTGCAATGGTGAAAGAACTCACGATTCTTATGGGACTCACTGTACGCAATAACGATTTTTTTTCTACCAATGAAATTCTTTCTTTCTCTCTCAGATTACAAAATAATTGTTAGATTAGTATTGACGCGAGATTGTATTCGCTTTTGAGTTTGCTTTGGCGGCTTCACTCTCGAGTTCGGTGTACTCCATCCGCCTATTTCTTTCTGTATACCTCTTGCTAATTGTGAACGGAAACATTGTTGGTATTCTGGGAAGTGCCCCAGAATTCCATTACTCTGGTACTCATAGCACAGAGAATTCTCTAGTTTAAGACCAGGCAATTGGTGTTATTTTCTGGCACATAATAATATTGTTATTGTAATTAAACTTGGATGTCAAAGAAAGTTTGCAACCCTTGATAAACGTGTCTCTAGACCAGATGCGGTCAGCGTGGCTGACCATTGCCTCCACCTTGTAAGAATTGACCTACGCCAGCAGTGGAACTTACAATGGGTTGATAGTGATAAAATTATAATTCATTTTCTTATAACAGGAATCGATTTAAGATTTGAGCTTATATTGACGTCATGGAGCTCATAAATCATGTACGCAAGTGCTTTCAGCGTCTGTGCTCGTCATATCAAGTCTAACGACCCAACCATTAACACCGTTTGACTGGGTGCGTATTCCAATGATTTTTGATGTAAAATGAAGTATTTTTTTATTTATTGTCATAGTTTGAAATTAAAATAAATTATGGTATTAATAATATTAAGGTTTTATTTCAGACATAATCCATAGCTATTCAGTAACACAACTTGTAATCTAATGTTAGTATCTTATAGCTACAATGGTGGCGAGATATAGTGTTATCGCCGAAATTTACTTCAACAAAATTTAACTAAATACGTACTGAATAAAGACACGTAATATTATTACACATAATATTACGTATATACCTGTTGCTTCATATAACTTCAACACTACACAGCGATAGTAACGTTTTTCCAATGAATTATTCTAGGCCCAACAAATCATTATGCACACTCCACTGTTTTTACTATTATACTTTGGCCGTTGTTAAATTTATCGTTTTCTCTTCTAGCAAATTTTCTTTGAATCATTTTCTTACCTTTACAAAATTTCCACCCATTATAACGATGGATATTTTGACTGAATTCAAAAACCATATTAAGAGTCTATTCACAAA